TCGACACCCGCGATCACATGTCACGGGCCCCTCACCTGTTGCTGACCCCCTTCCCCCCACACGTCACGGAACATGTTCCCTGGTGCCCGTCCCGTCCTCCACTTGACCCCGGAGAGGTTTCATCGTCAGGTGTAGGTATAAATTCCAGACCAGCCCCCCTGAACTTGGCCTCAAGGATGCCGAGGTCAGGTTCGGGGAACTGACCGGGTGACTGGCCCATACCCATACCGCTTGTCGAGCCTACTCCCATCACATCTTCGCCGTCTTACTTAGGGCGGCATAAATTTAAGAGGTCATAAAGTTTAGTGTCGAATAAATTATAAGGTCATAAATCTTAAACTCGCACACCTAAACATAAGGAATAAATAGAAGGGATATGCACCAAAATAAACTTTCCGAGACAAGACAAGAACGTCCAGAAGTCCAACGGAATGTCGGTTTCCCCCGGAGGTGGGACTGCCGAAGAGGAGGTGGGGGTAGTCAGGTGGGGGTTTTCGACGTCAGTCCCCTCGCCACCAACGACGACACCCTCACTCACGTAGACCTTTGTCAGGATGCTTGAGATACTTCACCGTTACCCTTCACGCCGCAATGTTGACGCAATTCTATTCTGCCTTCACTGTTACACTCTCCTCCTCGGGCTCTAGAGGCTACACAGTAAGGACGGCTGAAGACTTTAAATCTGGCTTTCATCGCCAGTTTGTGGACGCAAAGGGTCGTCGGAAACGAAAGGGGTGTCAGGTTGACGTATACTGTTCGCCAAGCATAGTCCTGCTCCTGCGACTTCCCTAAGCCGGAGGCGTACACTGTGTTTGACTGCTCCTCCTCTGTCACTGCGAGGACTCGCTGCGTCGCTAAGGTGAGACTAATCCCCTGTTCCCGTCGTTCCCCCCCAACACAAACTGCTGCTGCTGTGCACCTTCTGACCTGCTGTGGCGTCACGGGTCGACTCCTGGTACTAGGATGGGTTAAAAGCAGAGAACACATGTCACTGTGTGCTGTGTGCTCTGCATGTGTGACCATTAAAGAGGGTTCATCCCTCCCATTCTATTCTATTGCTACTTATGGCGCATTTCCACTGCAGGGCCTCGTACGGTACAGTTAGGTAAGCCAGACTCACTTTATGCTGCGCTTCCATTACTAACCGGTATCAGTATGTTGTTACTTCGGCATCATTTTGAAACGTGTATTACAATTAAATCACGGTAAAATATGTTCATTTTGTTGTAGATGCCAGCGATTCTCACTAGTTTAGCATACTCAGCCCGGTTGTTGGCCCGGAAAGAACCTCGACTTTGGAGAACCAGAGAACTGTGAAAAAGTACCCGCTAGCCGGAACTACGCCAAGTGGAAACGCAACCAAAAACGGGCCGGGCACGGCACGCTTAAACCGCGCTGTAGTGGAAATGCGCCATAAGAGAGTATAATTCTACTATTTAGCGTCATTTTTTATTTTCTTTACGCCTGTAGTATAAAACCAACAGTAAAGAAATGACAGGAAATGAGGGTGGGGAATGATAAAGAATGACATGCAACAAAGTTCCCCAGCCAGGCAATAACCCGGCACCCCACCATCGATTACTGAACATGCAAAGCGTTTAACTAGAAACAGCTGCCTGCTGCTTTGACCCTCAGCCCATCAGCTGGTGATACAAATCAAAGAAGTACAGGTGCAGGCGGGAAAACCAAAAAGGAGCAGCTGCAATATCTAATTAAACTCTGAACCAAAATATTGATTATGTCTGCTTAAAAAGACCATTGCATACTATTTAAAGAAATCACTATGGTAGAGAAAACACACACAACACACTGTGTTTGGAAGAAACTAAAGTGTAAACCACTAGAGAGTATGCTTTTGACTTTATGAAGTACCTTCATGACAAAGGAGGAGTTGGAGGAGAAGGACAGCTCCTCGGCCGCCTGCTCCAGCAGCTCAAACTCTCCCAGCTCCATGTTTTCGATCTGCAGGTCACAATCCCAGCGGTGGAGCTTCTCCTGGAACGACAACTCAAACGAATCCTTTGGAACTCTGTCTCCTCTTTCTGCCGATTCCAATCTTTCCTCTCTAGCGGCAACACTTCCAACTTGCTCTGGCGCTCTGAACACGCCCACCTGTTTGGTCACAGGGTTTGGCTGCATGCTCCTGGCAGCCTGAGGCGACAGACCCACCTTTCTATTGTTCTGATCCTTTACTTGCCCGAGTTGATGTTGTTTACTTTGTCTACTCTCTGGGTTAGCTTGAATTGCCTCTGTGTTTTGTCTTTGATGACTACCCAACACCTTCATCCGTGCTGCCTGGCTCTCAACTCTTAAATCCTGAGGTTCTGAACCGAAACCCCTCGGTCGGTTTTCCTTGTTGAGCGTGGCAGTTTTACGCTGAACAGGAAGCCGCTGGACTCCATTCGCGACCCCTTTCTGGATGGATGAAGGCTCCGAGTTGCTGCGGGACATTACTCTGGACTTGAGTTGTGATTTAGGATCCTTCTTTAACTCCATTTCCGGTAAGGAGGCTTTGCGAGTGTTGGTGAATCTTGAGAGACCCTCGCCCCGCCTCAGAAAGGCCTTCTTGGGAGGAGCTTGTACAGCATCCGTATGGCTCTGTTTAAGTGAGAAGACACAATGAGAATTTGGATGTTGCTGCACCCGTATGGAGAGGCTTACAACTCCATTACCCTCAGTGGGCTGTAAATACAATGTATGGCTCATAACGAAAAGATTAGTGATATTACATTTAAGGGGATAAGTACATTTAGCACTAACTGATGGTTAACTTTTTGACTGTTTGTAATGAGAACCGTGTTATATTCTCTGACCTGCTGAGACTTCAGTTTCTGCTCCTCCAGCCTGAGTTGCTCCTCCAACAACTCCTCAAACGTCTTCTTCTGACCCCCGATACCTGACTTTATAGGTCTGGATAGGGGCACGGACACACACAGGCATACGTATGCATACAGACAATGTAGTCAGCAACAATAAAAGCAGTCGTATTAACAGTAACAGTAATATATTGGAGCATAGGCTTTACCTGTCATGAAAGACTTCATCGTTTTCCCTGTTGTTGTCGTCAGTCAAATCCACACCATTACTTGGCATTAAAGTGTCCTTGTGCTCATGAGAATGGTTAGTATGGAAACTCTGTTCACGATCATCCTCTCTGGGGTTCCACGTGCCTGTAGGAAACACACAGTCAAATCATGTCGAAAGTACTCAACATAAAACAATTCTGTACAAATGCTGTCGTCCCCTTAAGCTTAAAAAAAAACATTCCCCTCCTCACCCTCTTCCTCATCGTCCACCTCCAGACAATCTTGACCTCTGGGTAGCCGCTGAGGGCTTTGTGCAGGTGAGGACTCTTGTCCCTGTAGGGGGCCCCTGGACGATCCCTGTGGGACTCCATGGGAGTTTTTGGAGGGGCTGTAAGACGTCTTGTCCTGCCAGTCTGATTCTGACAGATCTGAAAGTTCTGTGTCATCTGTCAAATAAATAACAGAAGGCATGGGAAGATTTATTTTTTTTTAATGTCACAGTTATTCTGGCCAAGTAATGCTAATATATTATGTTATCTTGAAAATCATCAAAACGTGCTTATATATATATATAAATATAAATAATGGCACTGGAACATACTGGAAAGAAAAACATATTGTTATTGCATCAAAGATAGATTTTTCGTATACACATCCTTTCAAATAAAAACTAAAAATCAATCTTAAATAAGGTAGTGATAAATCAAAAGCCGCTTTCACACAAAGTACTTTGCTGTCCTCAGTTCCCAACACTTAGTTCCCCCATGGAACTAAGAGCAGATCGCGTTCACACCGGATTACGTCCCTGAGGGAAGATTACCCAAATGAAGCCGCTGACGTCACTTCTTCTTTTTCTGTTTTGGGTTTACTGGTGTCACTACCCGATCTGCCTCCCTGCCCGATCTGCAGTGTGCGTGCGAGATGGTCCGCCATATTTGACAACTACATACGGCAACTCTAATAGGACACTTGACACAGTGGCGTTTGGCAGAGCAGAAAAAGAACACTCAAAAAACCAAGAGAGATGAGTTATTGTTATTACAACGTGACTTCTCTATTATTTAACAACTCTTTTTATTGGGTTCTTTTATTTGGGGTTAAGTACATTGTCAGAATAAGTGAGAAATGGATTAACTTCTGTGAACAGTCTATCTGTCTTGTACATTTTGCATACATTCACAGTGTATGTTCTAGTTCAGTTGATAGGGTGTCAACATGAATTACCATTCTCACTATTCCGTGAACGATCGTAGTTAACTTTAATAACGTCCAATAACGCTTCATGTTCATAATATGACACGTTGTATGTCATACATCTCTCTGCGGTTTTTTTTTGGTTTTCTTTTTGTGTGCTTTGCCAAACGCCACTGTGTCAATGTACATAGTTGGTGCCGTACGGAGTTGTCCAATATGGCGGACCATCTAGCACATGCGCACTGCTGACAGGCAGAGGGAGGCAGATTGGTAGTGACACACTTGTCTCACTACCCCATCTGCCTCGCCTGCCCGATTCTGCAAACATGTCATACAATACTGAACACATCTACCTTATGTTAATACATTTCGTTTTGTAGTGTATTTGTCTTTTGTAGAGATTTTTCCTTATCTCTCTATATATAAAATCTTTGCCTAGGGCAAGCAAAATTGGCTAGAACCGGCCCTGGTACCAGGCTCAAGGGCCTTTCTTGTGCTGACAGACACAGAAACAAATTGGCGGGGCGCACTTCGCCGTGCACACACTAAAAAATTCCACGCCGCTTCCGCGCTGCACATTATGCTGGGGCCACCGTGCCTTAGCACCGCTGCTA